AAGTAAATATAAAGTAACTTACTGAAGCTCTAATGTCTTCTTCGATTTGCTTTCTTAGTGCAGCCATTTCTGTAATCAACAAAACCATTCGTCATCCCAAATAAAAGGTGAGGCGAAGCTTCCACGGCTTCGTTGGTTTAATGCATTAATACAGAAAACTGAGCGTCGAGAGGAACTGAAGAAAATGATAGCTGGAAACAAATGCTTGCAAACAGGTACTACTGAGTCGGAATTTTGCGACTAGGGGGAGGGATAGGAGCTCTAGGGACCGGAGGATAATTATCTTAAAGTCTCTGTAGCCCGGGGAAGAAGTAGCTTGGGCACATCCGTTCGCACACCTCCCRCTACCGGGAACATTCGGAGAGGAAATGCGACGTTTATTACACAGCCTTGATACGTCGATAGTCCTCGAGCCTCGAAATATACGGGATCAGAACAATTAATTGTTGGGTTGTAACCAGGAATTGTGTTGTAAATTAATTTAAAAATGCAAATACCTTCATCAGACATTTTTCCATCATCGTCATTATCATCGTCATCGTCATCAATYCGAATCACTTGTCCAGACTCAGCTGCTTTGAGTTTTTCAAGAAGTTTGGCGTTTTGTTCCTGGAGGTCACGGATCAGTTTCTCTGTAGGATCTTCGTTTACTGTTGCTGTGGTCTTGATTTGTTTTGCACGATCGGCTAAGATACATTGAATAAACTAAGTTTACTTATATCATCATACACCTGGGGAAATCATATTGAAAGTACAATATGGGATTGAATTAGGGTGAAACAAAGGTCTTCAATAGGTTTTACTAGTTGATAAACAAAAGACAARGAGTGTGAAGTCTTGCAATAACGATTGTAGGAAAATCATTCAATAAGGAAATTGTAAAGTCTGTCATTCGGTGGTAAACCATACTAGCAGGGCTACAAACATACCATATCTGAGCGTTGAAAGGGTTTCATCATAGTTGATATCAGCTGGACTGATGGCTGCAATCTAAAAGAAATTCCAATAAGTAAGCGGGGCTGAAGCGTTCGTCCATGCACAGACCTTACTAATATATCACGTTGTATCTAATTTACTACAACGCTTTTCTCATGCTTTAAAACTACGTCATCAATATTAAGCTAAAGTTAGCCTCCTCGCGTGTTCTGTATATCAAGTTGAAACGATGATGTCATTTTCATATCATGCAACAGCCTGTGATTGGTAAACGGCTATCACGTGATAAATCACGCTTAGGTGATTGGCCAACATTTCACAGATTGGCTGACATACCATGGCTGTTTTGCTGTTTCCAGCCAATGCGTTCTTGAGCAATCTTGTCAGCGCCGAGTCTCCTCGGTAAGGAACTACAAAAAAAAAAGATTTTGTGATAATATTATCAAAGGCGGAGAGCGGGCATTAGTATCAAGCAAGTACTTACCTCGAACATTCTGTCCATTTGCTTTGTCGACAAGAGCTACAAAAAGAACAAATGATTACACAGATATCAGTTGTATTTAGAAAGATTTTAATGTGATCCTGGGATTCATGCGGTAGACTGTTAATCCAAATAATCGGTCATAATACCTGAAATGACGTTGCCAAGAGCAGAGAGGGACTGGTTTATAGCAGCTCCTTCTTTCAAGCGGTCACCAGTTGCACCTGTGGAATCGGCCCTCTCGCTGAGAATAAACGAAATGTTAGGTACCTCTATCACAATGACATGATAACACGAAGCATCATAGTAACACGTCTCATGTCTTTGAAGGTATATGCCGGTTTTATGAAAGAAACATTGATCGTGCGTCTTCTCTGCTAGGACGCGCCCGTAGATTGTAGATGAGCATGTACTAGAGTGTGGCATATTGCCGCCATTTTGAATTTTGATTAGACCTGTTCAGCTCCGCAGCTTGCTCTCGTAAAACTCCGCATTTTAATTCAATTATAGGTTGTTCTTACTGTTTAAAATTAGATTACCTTCCTGCAAGGTCCACTAGATTGATAAGCGAAGTCTTCGCAGTCTCCTCGCCTGCAGCATTTTTGTTCTTCTGYACGAAAGTCACTCCAACGATGGTGTGAGCGCGACTGGAAAGTAACAACATTTAACAATCCGCGTTATTGCATGAAGATTTTTATTAACAAAGTATTCACATACATCTCAAAAAAGATTACATATGGGATTGCACCATGCATGCCGTGACAATTATGGGTATCTTTCCTTAATAAAGCATTTTTCGAAATATTGCACTCGACCTGATAAAACAATGATGATAAAGTCATCAGTGGCATGTGTATATATCTCAAATGAATTGTTTTCCAATGTGGGACCATACTGTGTACAATGCGCATGCTCAATACCTGCTTGTCGCGTTCATATTTGTGGCTGCAATGTGGAATCATACTATATACAATGCGCATGTTCAATACCTGCTTGTCGCGTTCATATTAGTGGCTGCAATGTGGGATCATACTATGTACAATGCGCATGCTCAATACCTGCTTGTCGCGTTCATATTAGTGGCTGCAAAGTGGGATCATACTATGTACAATGCGCATGCTCAATACCTGCTTGTTGCGTTCATATTAGTGGCTGCAATGTGGGATCATACTATGTACAATGCGCATGCTCAATACCTGCTTGTCGCGTTCATATTAGTGGCTGCAA